AAAAAATGGGGAAAAAAAAGAAAAAAAAAAGAAAAAAAAAGAAAAAAAAAAGAAAAAAAAAAAGAAAAAGAAAAAGAAAAAGAAAAAAGGTTGGATTCGAACCAACGAACCAATAGAACAGGTAAGCAGCGTGTGTAATCTGAGCAAGCTTCTACCAAGGCAAGTGGGTGAAGAACAGAGTTTATAGGAAAAAGGAAAAAGGAACCAAGGGGGTTGGAGGAGACAACTAGCAGACTACCTCCATACGAGTCTATTTTAATTGGCATGCAAAACAAAATTTGAAATTTCCTAGTTCTGCGTATTTCTCCTGGCAGGAACAATGCTGCGGAGCGCTACCATCCGGCGTCAGCGCTATATATAATAATAGCGATGTATACTCCCTTCTCCCAAAAAACTCTGCTCCCAAAACAGAACTGCATTGGGCGCACGTACCAGCACAAATGCATGCAGTGCGTGAAAGAGCAAAACTCTGCTCAGAAAACAGGACTCTACTCACTGCACCTACCACCAAAAACTGTCTCCCAAGGAATCTCACAGAAGAAATATGTGCCAGTAAAAAGAAAATGAAAAAAGCAATGGGCCTGCAATGGACCCCTATGAGTAGAGTTAGAACTACCCCAGTCCCGGCAGGACTTAACATTTTTTCAGAAGAGAGGTTTGTTAAAACCCCTCCCTGTGCAAGTCATCATCTCTGGCAGGCTCATTAAGAAAGGTGTGTGGGCATACTCAGACTAGCGCTTTTTAGACGGAGCTCTGGGCGTGATTGCGGTCAGATGCATCCAGTTCTGGCCGTAGTGGCAGCCAGATACAGTCAGGAAAGTTCTAGTGTGAAAATGCCTGTGAAGTGAAAAACCTGTGAGATAATATTTCCTTCAGAATCCATCAAACTACCAGACTGAAGTACCCCACCCACCTACCCACTAGAATGCGGCGAATCGGATTAACACTGTGCTGACCTACCTGACCAAAACGGTGGGCGGTGCCCGATACTAGGCCCTTGCCCACAACGGTTTGGTGAAATTTCAGCGGTGGACAAAATCCCACCCTTGGGAAAAAGAGACTCGGAAGTACTCGTGTTTTCAACCACCAGTACCTCGCCCATACGTCGCCCGTGGGCCCCTCACCGCGACTTTCGGAGGCTGGAAACGAGACAAAGGCTGTCGATGAAATTTATCAAGGGCGGCCCAACCTCAAAAAGTGGTGCCCGTAAACGAGCTGCATGTTTTTTATTCAAGTGGGTAAGGGTATTGGTTGTTAAGCCACCAGTACTTGGCCCAGCTATCGATGCCGAGCCTGAAAACGGGCTGTGCGCCGTTTCGCGCCAACCCACCAGCACAACAAAACAAACTCGTTTTGGCTGGCGGCGCCAGCCTTTGAGGGCCGGTACCACGAGCCTCCGGAAGTTGCGGGGCGTTAACTGCAACACCCCGCGGGCGATGTATGGGCGAAGTACTGGTGGTTTAAAGAGGGCAGTGATCACAAAAAACTTATTGAGAAGTCCAACGGCCAGGTCGATGGCTTCATTCAGCTGTCTCGACAACCTCCTCTCCTCCCCTCTTCTCTCCTTTGTCCTTCGTTCTTTCTCTCCTTCGGCTTTTCAAAGGCACAACAAATCGCCGATGCCTAACAGACATTAATAACAAGTGGATCCTCCCGTACCATTCCATCGTCCACCTCCACTCCTCTCCTTTGCGAGGCTTTGTTCTTCCTTCAGTTTCCCCGTTCCTTTTTTCTTTTTTTTGGCTCAAAATTCAAATTTCCAATCCCCTTTCCATTTTCAAAAGGACTGTCAATCGCTGATCCGGCGTCGACCCCTTAAGTTGAGTGCAGGCCGAGCTTTGGGGATGGTGATGGTCATGCCCGACCGCTTGAGTAAATATCTTCAACAACATGTCGTAACGTTTAGGGATATCGCCTCTGCCTCTGCTAACTTAGGCTACCATTTCTTTGGCACCTTCTTCCCTCTAGGTACCATGGTACTTTTGGCACCTTCTTCTCTCTAGGGACCATGGTACTTTTGGCACGGTGACCTTCTTCCCTCTAGGGACCATGGTACTTTTGGCACGGTGACTTTCTTCCCTCTAGAAACCATGGTACTTTTGGCACGGTGACCTTTTTCCCTCTAGGGACCACACTACTTTTGGGACATTCTTCCCTCTACGGACCATGATACTTTTGGCATGGTGACCTTCTTCCCTCTAGGGACCATGCTATTGCCAACAGCAGCCGGAGCAGCAGCAGCAAAAGGAGGCAGCAGGAGCAGAGTGTGGTCGATATATACACAACAACACTACGGAGACCTCGAGAGAGGACAAGCAGGCTAGGTCTCCAGCACTTGGATACGGACATTTCCTTTGCGACGAACTAGAAGTAGAGTAAATTAAATGCTGCTGACAGCTTCCTTGGCAGCAACACGGTCAGAGAAATAGGCTCTTTCTAGAACTTTCTAACCAAACACCTACAGAAAATCGTACAGGCGTTACACACTGGGGCCAAGAGGGGACATGGTTTGCTGGGTGAGAGAGGGAGGAGAGGGGGGAGAGGCAGGAGGAGGAGGAGAGGGAGGAGGAGGAGAGGGAGGAGAGGGAGGAGAGGGAGGAGAGGGAGGAGATGCAAGAGACAGAGGAGGGGAGGAGAGGGAGGAGAGGGAGAACAGAGGGAGGAGAGGGAGGAGAGGAGGGAGGAGGAGGAGAGGGAGGAGAGGGAGGACAGAGGGAACGGAGGAGAGGAAGGAGATGCAAGAGACAGAGGAGGGGGGGACGGAGGAAAGGGAGGACAGGAAGGAGATGCAGGAGAGGGAGGAGAGGGAGGAGAGGGTGGAGAGGGCGGAGAGAGAGGAGGAGAGGGAGGAGGACGAGGAGTTGGGAGGACCAGGAGGAGCGAGGAGCAGGAGGGGGGGGGGGAGATAGAGGAGAGGGAAGAGAGGGAGTAGAGGGAGGTAATGCATGAATGCATGCTCTCTACTTATTATCTGGAAAGGTGGAAGACAAGGTGATAGAGGAGAGGGAAGAGAGGGAGTAGAGGGAGGCAATCCATGAATGCATGCTCTCTACTTATTATCTGGAAAGGTGGAAGACAAGGTGCACAAGTAAGCAAGGGCCCCTGGACAGGCAAGTTGGTGGTACGCTTTCAAGATTCCTTCCGCGATGAACTCGTAATGAATGCTGTGAGCGCATCCACTAGCTGTCCCTTTCTCATGGTGGAGAACCCTTTAACTCCAAGTTCCCTTGCAAGCCCCTTGAGCTCTGACAAATTGTGGGTTGCTAGATCCCCCACATGGACATTTGATCCTACCTGTGAAGGTGAGGCAGGGACCTCATTGCCATCCACATCGTCAGCGTCATTGTTCTGCAGGATTGAAGCTCCACTAGCATCTACTCCCACATTCTTACCTGCTTTCCCTCCTCTCCCAGCTTTCTTCCTCCTTCCCTCTGCTTTTTTCCTCCTCAGGCTGTCGCTACTCTCTGCAGCCACCTGCTCCGCATCGCCATTCACGATATTCGATTTTAGCATTGACTGCACGTTCATCTCCAGCTCTAGATCCTCTGATCGTACCACTGTGTCACCTTCCTCCTCCTCCTCCTCCTCCTCTCTGCCCTCTTTCCTCCTGGTTCGCATTTTCCTGGTAGTCCCAGACTTCAGCACCACGCTACTCATTGCTCGCTCAGCCTCCATCTCTTGGACATCTTGCTGTAATTGATTTGATGTCACATCCATCTCTTCTGCTGCCATATCCTCCTTTGTCTTTTTCCCTCCCCTTCCCCCTCTTTTCACGCTCGTTCTCCCTTTCCTGCTACCAGATCCTGGTTTGGTACTTCTCCTTGCAGCCAACTCATCCTCAGGAGCATGGACATCTTCAACTGTGGCACCTCCTTCACCCGCATCAGCCTCTGCGTCGTGTTTGAGCGCCATATCTGGCTGAGCGTCGGTTTGTGAGTCCGATCCCGATCCCGAATCTTCGCTGAACGGCATTACATGCTCTGAATCCATAACCAAATTAACAGGGGAGTCTTCTTCGTCATGACCCATGTCACCTGTAGGTACAGCTCCACTCCGCAAAGACCCATCCTTTCTGACATGTGGCATCCCCCCTCCCTTGGCCCCTCCTTGCATCTTTGATCGCGAGTCCATTTGAGAAGGTGGAGATGTAGTCTGTGTTCTATCGCCGGCCAATTTTTCTTCAGAGGCGACAGAGAAAGACTGCAAAGCACTCGCTGCCCCGTCCTGTCGTGTCACTTCGACGATTCCGTGGAACGCTGCTCCTGATGACGATAATGGCGATGCGACATCTGCGTTTTCCTCCGGTTGAACCCTTACGATCTCCTCTGTAGATGGGCCAGTTCCCCTGATTGCCCCCAACCCTTCAGTTTGTGTTTTCAGAGCTTCACGGGTGTTGTGAACAGCAGGACCTTCCTCTTCTCTGCTCACCTGCGCGGCATTACGCAAGGTCGACTGCGCTGGAATCGGCGAAACCTTTCTGAAACTGGACGGGGGTCTTTGAGCCATGGGTGTGTGATGCTTCCTGCCTTCGCCAAGGAACCCCTCCACCGATACTTCACCTGAATTCTCAAGCTGCAATGCACTCTCCTGTCTGACGTTTGCCGACGGCCGCAATGTTTTCCACACTCGCACCGGAGATATTCTGATGAATCTGGAAGGGGGTCGTCGACAAGCGAGCGGCAATGACTGCTCCTCACCGGGAACATCCGTCTGCTGCGCGGATTCCTCGCTACCCTCTGCATGCCCCTTTCCCACGACCATAACGTTTGACGGCATTCGCACTCCTGTTCCCCTCATCGGAATAGGTGATGCCTTGTGAAAAGATGACGAAGGGTGCCATTTTGGCAGTCTGTCAAACTGAAGTTGGGTATCTTCGCGGGCCTCATTGGCCGTATTCTCCCCCTCGTCCTCTTCAAGCAGACCCCAAGACTCGCCGCCATCTTCAGCAGGTGAAACAGCACTGGCGTCAACATGATCGCCTCGGTCGTCTCCGTCAACTGCCGCCGACCGCCTGCTGGGTTCACCATCTGGCATATCAGTCAAGAGCTGTTGTTGGGCGCCATGTGGTGGCGCTGACGATGTGGGCAATGTCGCATCCTGCAACTCGATTGTTGCAGAAACCTTCTGGTTTTCGACTTCTCCTGTCCCCTCCAATGTAGTATTAAGGGAAGGCACCAAAGGCATTTCCTCGTTCTTGCATTCCGACGTCGCATGGCTCTCGTCGGTCACATATTCCTGTAACTCCTCAGGCGGTGACGGAGGACCACTCTCATCCGATACCCCTCCTTTGGAATCCTCGGCCCGCCCAAACTCGAACACAACAGAACCGTCGTGTAGCTCTATGAAACAACACAAAGGTCCGAGCACAAAACAGATACAATCACATCAACAATATGCTGCTGCAACCCCCCATGTCTCATTGTTCAAAGCCCAATCTTCATTTTCCCATATGATTCGTCACTCCGACTTCACTCGTGAGAGGGAGAAAACGAGATACTAGACAGACAGACACAGAGAGAGAGAGAGAGAGAGAGGCGGAGAGACAAATAATAGCCACATATCAGAGGCGCGTTCTCTTCTCTCCCCCTCATGCTTGCACACATGGCACACACACACACACACACACACAGAGAGAGAGAGAGAGAGAGAGAGAGAGAGAGAGAGAGAGAAAGAGAGAGAGAGAGAGAGACAGGTTAAGCGATACAAGATTGGTTGTCACGTACTTGGAAGATCGTTGTGTGGTCCACGAAGTAGGAGGCCATAGCCGCGGAGCTCGAACCACGGAGTGACAAAGAAGGGGGATGTGAGAGAGACGGACGAGGAGACTAAGGAAAGGAGAGAAGTGAAGTGGAGGAAGGACAGAGACGAGTACAAAAAAAAAAAAAAAAAAAAAAAAAGGAA